AGATGGCATTACAAATGATTTCATGGAAATACAAAAGATCCTCAGAGTCTGTTGTAAATGCTTCTATGCACAAAAATGAGAAAATCTAAAGGAAATTCATAAATTTTTAGAAACACAAAATTTATTAAGATTGAACCAGGAATAATATATTATTATGAACCCATCAATAAAAAATTCTGAAATTAGATTAGTAATAAAAAACATACCACCTGAAAAAAAAACCCTGGACCAGATTAAATCCCAGGTGAATTATGCCAGAAGTACCATAAAGAACTGCTACAAAACCTACTAAAACTATTCCCAAAAATTTAGGGGAAGAGACTTCTTAATTTATTCTATGAAGCCAGCATTATTCTTAGTCCAAAATGTAGCAGAGACACAACATAAAAGGCAACTTCAGGCCAATATCACTAATGAATGTAGTTGCAAAAATCCTTAACAACCTACTAGAAAATTAAATCCATCAGCACATCAAAAAGTCAATTAACTACAATCAAGTAGGGTTAATTCCTGGGAGGTAAGGTGGGTTCAACATATGCAAGTCAATAAAAATGATTTACCACATAAAGAGAATTTTTTAAAAAAACCATATGATCATTTAAATATATGCAAAAGAAAAGCTTTTGATAAAATTCAACATTCCTTCAGGACAAAAACCCTCAACAGACTAGGCATCAAAGGAACATATCTCAAAATAATAAGAACCATCTATGACAATCCCAAAACCAATATCATAGTAAATGGGTAAAAGTCACAGATATTTTCCTAGAGGACTGGTCCAAGAAAAGGATGCCCACTCTCACCACACTTATTCAACATATAGTACTGGAACGACTACACAGAGCAATTAGGAAAGAGAAAGAAATAAATGCTATCCAAACAGGTAAAGAAGAAATCAAACTATCTCTACTTGCTGACAATATGATTCTATACTCAGAAAGCTCTAAAGACTCCACCAAAAGGCTACTAGAACTGATAAATGATTTTAGCAAGGTGTCAGGATAAAAAATCAATGTACAGAAGTCCGCAGCATTCCTATACACAAATCTAGGCTGAGAGTCAAATAAAGAACACAATCCCATTTATAATAGCTGCAAAAAAATCAAAGTACCTAGGAATAAAGCTAACCATGGAGGTAAAAGATATCTACAAAAAGAATTACAAAACACTGCTGAAAGAAATCAGAGATGACACAAATAAATAAAAAAAATTACATACTTATGGATTGGAAGAATAAATATTGTTAAAATGGCCATAATATCTAAAGCAATGAACAGATTCAACACAGTTCTTAATAAATACCAATACTAATCATTCTCCACAGGACGAGAAAAAAAATCTATTCTAAAATTTGTATGAACCCAAACAGAACCCAAATAGCCAAAGCAATTCTAACCAAAAAGAACAAAGAGGGAGGTCTAACAGTACCCAAATTCAAACTGTACTCTAAGGCTACATTAACCAAAACAGCATAGTACTGGTAAATAAACAGACACATAGACCAATGGATCAGAATATAAAACTCAGGATATAAAGCCACACACCAACAGCCACTTAATCTTCAACAAACTTGACAAAAACAAGCAATGGGGAAAGGACTTTCTATTCAGTAAATGGTGCTGGAATAACAGGCTAGTCATATGCAGCAGAATGAAATAAGAACTTAACATTTTACCACATAAAAATTAACTCAATGTAGATTAAAGATTTAAATATAAGACCTCAAACTATTAAAATCCTAGAAGAAAACCTAAGAAATACCCTTCTTGACATGGTCTTGGCAAGTAATTTTAGACTAAGTTCCTAAAAGCAATTGGAGCAAAAACAATGATTGACAAGTGGGACCTAATTAAGCTAAAGAGCTTCTGTGCAGCTAAAGAAACTTTCTAGAGAGTAAGTGATATGGTTTGGCTCTTTGTCACCACTCAAGTCTCACCTTGAATTGTAATAATCCCCATGTATCAAGGGTGGGACCAGGTGGAGGTAATTGGATCATCGGGGCAGTTTCCCCCATGCTGTTCTCATCATAGTAAGTTCTTGTGAGATCTGATGGTTATATAAGCATCTGGCATTTCCCTTGCTGGACTGGCACTTTTTCTCTCCTGCTACCCTGTGAATAAGTGCCTTCCACCATAATTGTAAGTATCCTGAGGCCCCCACAGCCATGTGAAACAGTGAGTCAATTAAGCCTCTATTCTTTATAAATTACCCAGTCTTGGTATTTCTACCTAGCAATGTAAGAATGGACTAATACAGTAAATTGGTACCACAGAGAGTGGGTTGCTGCTATAAAGATACCTTAAAATGTGGAAGTGACTTAGAAACTGGGTATCAGATAGAGGTTGAAACAGTTTGGAGGGCTCAGAATATGACAGGAAAATATGGGAAAGTTTGGAACTTCCTAGAGACTTGTTGAATGCTTTGACCAAAATTCTGATAGTGATATGCACAATGAAATCCAGGCTGAGGTGGTCTCAGATGGAGATGAGGAACATTTTGGAAATTGGAGCAAAGATGACTCTTGCTCTGCTTTAGTGGATAAACTGGTGGCATTTTGTTCCTGTCCTAGATATCTGTGAAACTTTGAACTAGGGAGAGATGATTTAGGGTATTTGGTGGAAGAAATTTCTAAGTGGCAAAGTGTTCAAGAGAAAACAGTGCATAAAGTTTAAAAAATTTGCAGCCTGACAATGTTATAGAAAAGAAAACCCCACTTTCTGGAGAGAAATTCAAGGTGGTTGCAGAAATTTGCATAAGTAATAAGGAGCCAAATGTCAGTCATCAAGACAATGGAGAAAATGTCTCCAGGGCATGTCAGAGGCCTTCAAAGTGGCCCCTCTCACCACAGGCCTAGAGGCTTAGGAGGAAAAAATGGTTTCATGGGCTGGACCCAAGACCTCCCTGCTCTGTGCAGCCCGGGACATGGTTCCCTACATCCCAGCTGCTTCAGCTCCAACCGTGGCTAAAAGGGGCAAGGTACAGCTTAGGCCATTGCTTCAGAGGATGCAAGTGCTAGGCCTTGGTGGTTTTGAGCCTGCAGGTGCATAGAAGTCAAGAATTGAGGTTTGGGAACCTCTGCCTAGATTTCAGAGGATGTATGGAAATGCCTAGATATCCAGGCAGAAGTTTGCTGCAGGAGAGGAACCCTCATGGAGAACCTCTGCTAGGGCAATGAAGAAGGGAAATATGGGGTTAAAGCCGCTACACAGAGTCCCTACTGGGCCATTGCCTAGTGGAGCTGTGAGAACAGGTCCACCATCTTCCAGACCCTAGAATGGTAGATCCACCGGTAGCTTGTGCCATGTACCTGGAAAAGCCACAGGTACATGGCACAAGCTACCGGTGGATCTACCCCATTTCATGTGCTGGCATTGAGCCACACACTCAATGCCAGCCCATGAAAACAGCCTGGAGTGGCAGCTGTACTCTACAAAACCACAGAGACATAGCTGCCCAAGACCATGGGAGCCCAACTCTTGAATCAGCATGACCTGGATATGAGACATGGTGTCAAAGGAGATCATTTTGGAACTTTATGGTTTAATGACTGCCCTATTGGAATTTGGTATTGCATGAGGCCTGTAGCTCCTTTGTTATGGCCAATTTCTCCCACTTGGAATGGGTGTATTTACCCAATTTCTGTACCCTCATTATATCTAGGAAATAACTAATCTGGTTTTAATTTTACAGGCTCATAGGTGGAAGGGACTTGCCTTATCTCAGATAAGACTTTGGACTTGGACTTTTGAGTTAATGCTGGAATGATTTATGACTTTGGGGGACTGTTGGAATGGCATGATTGTTTTTTGAAATGTGCAGACATGAGATTTGGGAGGGGCCAGGAGTGGAGTGATATGGTTTGGTCTGTGTCCCCGCCCAAATCTCACTTTGAATTATAATAATCCCCACATTTTAAGGGGGGAACCAGGTGCAGGTAATTGGATCATGGGGGCAGTTTCTCCCATACTGTTCTCCTTATCATGAGTGAGTTCTTGTGAGATCTGATGGTCATATAAGCATCTGGCATTTCCCCTGATAGCACTTATTCTCTCTCCTGCTGTCCTGTGAAGAGGTGCCTTCCTCCAGGATTGTATGTTTCCTAAGGCCTCCACAGCCGTGTGAAGCTGTCACTCAATTAAACCTGTTTTCTTTATAAATTACGCAGTCTTAGGTATTTCTTCATAGCAGCATGAGAACAGACTAATACAGTAAAATATTTGTTAAAATGTCTAATATCCAGGATCTATAAGAAACTTAAACAAATCAACAAGGAAACAACAAATAACCTCATTAAAATATTTGCAAAGGACATTAGCAGGTGCTTATCAAAAGACATACAAGTGGGCAACAAACATGAAAAATGCTCATAATATTAATCATTGGGAAAAATGTAAATCAAAGTGAGATATCTCACACCCATCAGAATGGCTATTACTAAAAATGTAAAATATAATGCCAGCAATGCTGCAGAGAAATGAGAATGCTTATACACCTGTTGTGACAATGTTCAGCTAGTGTGGAAAGTGGCTTGAATATTTCTCAAAGAACTTAAAACAGAGTTATCATTCAACCCAGCAATCCCATTACTTGTTATATACCCAGAGGAATACAGAGCATTATATCAAAAAGACACATACACTTATATGTTCATTATCATGCTATTCACAATAGCAAAGACACAAAATCCACTTCAATGCCAATCAATGGTAGATTGGATAAAGAAAATGTGATATATACACACCATGGATTACTACACAGCCATAAAAATGAATAAAATCGTGTTCTTTGCAGCAACATGGATGGAGCTGGAGGCCATTATCCTAAGTGAGTTAATGGATGAACTGAAAACAATATGCTACATGTTCTCACTTATAAGTAGGAGCTAAACATTGAGCATACATGGACACAAACATGGGAACAACAGACACTGTTGACTACTACAGGAGAAGGTAGGAAGGGGGAGTATGGGTTGAAGAACTACTCATTGGGTACTATGCTCACTATCTAGGTGCAATATGACACATGAAAAACCTACAGGTATCCCCTTCATCTAAAATAAAAGTTGAAATTAAAAAAATTAAAAATTAAAAACATCATTCAATTATATGCTTCTATAAAAGACTCATTTTATATTTAAGGACACAAATAGTATGAAAGTGAAAGGAGGACAAAAGATATTTTATGCAAATACCAGGGGACTTAAAAACGTTTATGAGAAAATAAAAGACAAAAATAATATAAACTTTTTTTTCCTCAACATGAGCTCCATTAAGGCAAAAACCATTTTGTACATAACAATACCAGCCATTTAGTCCATCCCTAAGCAGCTGAGAATTCTGGGGCTGTAACCACATTGATGCAGTCTTTTTCACATTGTTAACCAAACAAAAATTATTGACCTGTATGTACTTTTTATAACTGGAAAACAAAAAGTCAGAAGAAGCCAAATCAGCACTGTAAGGTGGATGCCAAATAATTTCCTGTAGACACTGTTGCAAAATTACTCTTTTTTGAAGAGAGGAATGAGAATTACCATGGTGAAAAGAACTGTCTGGTAATGTTTTTCTATGCTTTTCTCTGCTAAAGCTTTGGCTGACTTTCTCAATACACTCTCATAAAAAGCAGATGTCTTCATTATTTTAGTTCTTCTGAAAGTCAACGAACAAAATGCCTTGGGAATCTTGAAAAACTATGGCCACAACCATTGGTCTTGACTGGTCTGCTTTTCCTTTGACTATATCACTTCTGCCTCTTAGTGGCCATTGCTTTGATTATGCTTTGTCCCAGGGTCATACTTTCCTTTGTCTTCAAGATCATACCATGTTTTAAAATCTCCTGTTACAATTTTTAAAGAATTGCCTCAGGATCTTGACCCTACTTCTTTAACACTTCCATTGAAAGCTCTGCTCTTCTCTGCAGCTGATCTGGGTGAAAAAGTTTTGGCACTCACTGAGTGGAAAGTTTGCTCAAGTTTAATTTTTCAGTCAGAATTGTGTAAGCTGAACCAATTGAGATGTGTATGGTATTAGCTGCTGTTTGTGCTGTCAATCTTCAGTCCTCTTCATTTAGGGCCCAAAGAAGATAATCTTTTCCTCACAAATTGATGTGGGTGGTCTGTGGCTGTAGGCTTCATCTTCCACATCATCTCATCACTTCTTTAAATGAGCTATTTATATGTAAACTGCTGATTTCTTTGGGTCATTGTCCTCCTAAAATTTTCATAAAGGATCAATCATTTCACTATTCTTCCACTCAAGCTTCACCATAGATTTGATGTTTGCTCTTGCTTCAATTTTAGCAGAGTTCAAGTTGCTTTTATAGGCGCTCTTTTCTGATGTCTTATTCTTCTTAGTGCCTCAAACTAGATCCTCTTAAGACATGCTATAATAAGATAGTATAATTTTATTTTTATGCCAAAAATGGAAATCCATGTATAAGTTTTTTTATTATAAAGTTTTCATGAAGTTTTTAAAGACCCTTTGCAGTAACCATAAGATAACTGTAATAACTGTTTTGTTTTCAGAAAAAAATGTACTTTAAGTAAATAACTGTTAAAGGAGACAAGCTCATTATATATTGATAAGAGGTAAATTCACCAAAAGATGTAATAATTACGAGTATATATGCACCAAAAATCAGAGCTTTAAATATATGAAGCAAATATTGACTAAAATAAAGGGAGAAATAGAGAAGGTCAAGAAGGAAATATAGGACTTGAACATTTAAATAACACTATACACTAATTGGGCATAACATACATATACAGAGACTCCACCTAACAACAGCAGAATATACATTTTTCTCAAGTGCACATAGAACATTGTCCAGGATAGACCAAATGTTAGTTATAAAAGAGGTTGAAATAAATTTAAACAAATTAAAATCATGCAAACAATATTTTCTGATCACAATAGAATGAAACTAGAAATCAACATAAAGATGAACATTCAACAATTAACAAATAGGTGAAAATTAAATAACACTTTATTAAACAACCAGTGAGTCAAAGAAGAAATCAGAAAAAAATGAGAAAATACCTTGAGACAAATTAAAATAAAATCCTAATGTAACTAATTAGGATGCATTTGGGGGTGCAACAAAAGCCATGCCAAGTTGTATTCAGAGAGGAAATTGCTCACATCAAGAAGGAAGAAAGATTTTAAATTAATGACCTACCTTTATGAGACTAGAAAAAGTAAACTAAACAGAAAGCAACAGAAGGAAGGAAATAATAATAGATTGAAGATAAATAAAATGAAGACTAGAAAGACAATAGAGAAATACACCAAAACCAAGGGCACATTCTTTGAAAAGATCAAGAATATTGATAAACCTTTAGTTAGATTAAGAAAAAAAGAGAGACAAATGACTAAAATTCGAAATAAAACTGGGGACATTATTACTAATTCAAGGAATTAGTAGAAATCAAAAGGATTCTAATACAGTCCTATGAATAACTGTACTTCAATGTATTCAATAACCCTTATGAAAGGAATAAATCCTAAAAGTACACAACCTACTAAGAATGAATTATAAAGAAATAGAATATATTAACATACCTACAACCTACAATTATAAGGAGATAGACCTTATATTCAGAAACCTCCCAACAAAGAAATACCCAGGACCAAATGGTTTCAATGTTAATTTTGCCAAACAATTAAAGAAGAATTAACACCAATGTTTCTAAAACTCTTCTAAACACGTGACACATAGGAAAGACCTTCTTACCCATTTTATAAGGACATTTTATGAGCATTACCCTGATGCCAAAGCCAAGCAAAGATACTATAAGAAAATTACAGAAGAATATTCTTGAAAAATATTGATGAAAAAATCCTCAGTAAAATACTAATAAAGTGAATTCAGCAGCATATTAAGAGGATTCTACATCAATACAGGTGAGATTTATTTCTATAATGTAAGGATTGTTCAACATATGAAAATCAGTCAGTGTAATACACAATATAGACAGAATGAAAAAAACAATCTTTTCAATCGATAAAGAAAAAGCTTTTGAAAATATATGACAACTTTTCATGGCAAAAACACTAAACAACCTAGAAATGCAAGAAAAAGCTCTTCAACATAATAAAAGCTATATGTTAAAAACCTCACAACTAGCATCATACCCAGTGCTGAAATACTGCAAGCTTTTTTCCTCAGAAGAGAAACAAGACTAGGATGCCTGCTTTTGCCACTTCTATTCAGTGTATTGTTGGAAGTTTTTCCTAGAGCATTTCAGCAAGAAAAGGATAAAAAGCAACCAAATTGGAAAGGAAGAATTGAAAATTATCAGTTTGCAGATTATATAATCTCATATGTGGAAAACCTCAATTATCCCAGCAAAAAACCATTAAAGCTCATAAAGAAATTTAGGCAATTTGTATATAAAATCAACACACAAAACTCAGTTGCATTTCTGTACATGAATAATAATCTGAAAGGGAAATTGAGAAACCTTTAAAAACTAATATATATGCAAGGTTAACTCCATCTGCCATCTGATATTTCTAAATTAAAGGGAAGATCTCCATTTGGTGATCTGTGGGCTGCTCTGGACCAGAACCCGTAGCCAAAGGAAAGGGAAAATATGATTGTCCTGACCTGGGTCAAATACCACCTCTGTGACCGAGTGAAATGGGATAGTTTTGTGACAAAAGGCAAATTCCCTGAAAGAAGAATGGGATGGGCTATCAGAATCTGAGAAGAAATAATTTGGTAAAAATTGATAATTGCTTAGAATTTAGTTTCTGTTTTATCTGCCTCTGATATCTAACTTTAGTCTAGATTCTGTTCTTTATATCTTGCATACCTTTCTTAATCTCTGCTTCACACTGGGTCACATTTAGAACTTAGCCTCTTTTCCTTGAATTTCATACAAACCCCATTCTTACAGGTTCTCATAGAAAGATTTTTGGGGGGAGGGAGGAGCATCTCATTTCGGCAATGCAAGGAACATCAAATTGAGTACATGATAACCCTTTTCTTAAATAATTTCTGGACTGGTTTGAACAGCTCAAGTTTCAGCCTCCCATTTTCTTTCTTGTTTCTTCTACTTCCTCTCCTTTCTCCAGACTATTCACCTTTTCCTATTGAGTCATTACAGAAAATGATATTTCAGTTTATCTTTCAGAGCAATTTAATACTCCTTTTATACTGTTACAAAGTTTAGCCTCTATGTCAGGCTTATCCTTTTAATCCTAAATGGACTTTCAAGGTATTTCACCTCTGGCTCATGACATTAAAAACTATGTTACTAGCTGGGTGCTGTGGCTCACTCCTGTAATCCCAGCACTTTGGGAGTCTGAGGTGGGCAGAGCACGAGGTCAGGAATTTGAGATCAGCCTGGCCAACAGGGTGAAACCCAGTCTCTACTAAAAATACCAAAAAAATTAGCTGGGTGTGGTGGCAGGTGCCTGTAATCCCAGCTACTTGGAGGCTGAGGTTAGAGAATCGCTTGAACCTGGGAGGCAGAGGTTGCTGTTAGTGGAGACAGTGCCACTGAACTCCAGGTTGGGCAACAGAGTGAGACTCATCTCAAAAAAAAAAAAAAAAGATGTTACTCTTATCAATATGTTGATTAGTAAATGCTATTTTTTGCTATGAAAAAATTTTGTCTATTATAGGAAAAGATTTGCTGGTGGGAAAATTATATGATCTGTGATGGATTTGTCTTTATCCCAGCTATAATACATCTTACTTTTAGGTCCATAATCTTTTCTTCTGGTATCAATCTCTGCCTGGTAGCACCTTTCCAAATGGTACACATAGTACCTCAAGGAAACCGCCTCAAAAGTTGTATATCTATAAATCTAAACTTATAAAAGGAAAACAAATACTAGAAATTCTGTGAGGATCTCTGAAATACTCAAAAGCTGCATTGCTGCTATGTTGCCAGAGTGCTTATGGTTTGGCTTCTGGAAATATATATCCCAGTTTATACTCTGGAAACTGCCTAATGTCCAAATATAGTCAGAAGAGTAATGCCTTCTGACTGTTGTCATAATTCCTTACCCAAATAAAATGGCTTGTTTGAATTAGTTTATTCTTTACCCAAATAAAATGGCTTGTTAAATTAGATTCTGTTAGCTCATCACAGAAGAATAGATTAGACTCATGGAATATTACAGCTGAAAAGGACATTAAGAATTATCTAATACAATTGCCCTCAATTTATACAGGAGAAAAGTGAGGCCCAGAGAATTCTGGTGACTCTTCAGTTGTTCTGTTCATACTAAATTGGATCTAAAATCCAGATCTGCTGACTCTTAGTTTATTGCTTTTCCTAAAGCTAGTTTTGCCCAGAGCCTTTGACTCAAATACTTTTTTTTTTAATTTTTAATTATCTTAAATGTATTTGTTTATTTAACTTTAGGTGCATACTGTATCTGGCATTTCTCCCCATGTTATCCCTCCCCTCCCTCCCCACCCCTCGCACTGTCTCTCCCTTACCCCCCACCCGCAACTGCCCCCAGTGTGTGATGCTTGTCTCCCTGAGTCCACGTGTTCTCATTGTTCAACACCCACCTATGAGTGAGAAGATGTGGTGTTTGGCTTTCTGTTCTTGTATCCGTTTGCTGAGAATGTTGGTTTCCAGATTCATCCAAGTCCCTGCAAAGGACACGAACTCATCGTTTTTTATGGCTGCCTAGTATTCCATGGTGTTTATGTACCACATTTTCTTTGTCCAATCTATCATTGATGGGCATTTGGGTTGGTTTCAGGTTTTTGCTATTGTAAACAGTACTGCAATGAACATTTATGTACATGTGTCTTTATAGCAGAACGATTTATAGTCCTTTGGGTATATACCCAGTAATGGGATTGCTGGGTCAAATGGAATTTCTATTTCTAGATCCTTGAGAAATAGACACACTGTCTTCCACAGTAGCTGAACTAATTTACACTCCCACCAACAGTGTAAAAGTGTTCTTTTTTCTCCACATCCTCTCCAGCATCTGTTGTCTCCAGATTTTTTAATGATTGCCATTCTAACTGGCGTGAGATGGTATCTGAATGTAGTTTTGATTTGCATTTCTCTAATGACCAGTGAGGATGAGCATTTTTTCATATGTTTGTTGGCCTCATATATCTCTTCTTTTGAAAAGTGTCTGTTCATATCCTTCACCTACTTTTGAATGGGGTTGTTTTTTTTCTTTTAAATCTGTTTTAGTTCTTTGTAGATTCTGCATATTAGCCCTTTGTCAGATGGGTAGATTGCAAAATCTTTTTCCCATTCTGTTGGTTTCCAATTCACTCTAATGATGGTTTCTTTTGCTGTGCAGAAGCTCTGGAGTTTAATTAGATACCATTTGTCTATCTTGGCTTTTATTGCCAATGCTTTTGGTGTTTTAGTCATGATGTCCTTGTCTATGCCTATGTCCTGGATGGTTTTGCCTACGTTTTCATCTAGTGTTTTTATGGTGTTAGGTTTTATTTTTAAATCTTTAATCCATCTGGAGTTTAATTTTAATGTAAGGTGACAGGTGGGGATCCAGTTTCTGCTTTCTGCACATTGCTAGCCAGTTTTCCCAACACCATTTATTAAACATGGAGTCCTTTCCCCATTGCTTGTTTTTGTCATGTTTGTCAAAGATCAGATGATTATAGATGTGTGGTGTTTCTTCTGGGGCCTCTGTTCTGTTCCATTGGTCTATGTCTCTGTTTTTGTACCAGTACCATGCTGTTTTCATTACTGTAGCCTTGTAATATAGTGTGAAGTCTGGCAGTGTGATGCCTCCGGCTTTGTTCTTTTTGCTTAGGATTGGCTTGGCTACGTGGGCTCTCTTGTGATTCCATATGAAGTTTAAAGTGGTTTTTTTCCAGTTCTGTGAAAAAGGTCATTGGTAGAAATACTACCAATTCTACAAACTCTTCCAGGAAATTGAAAAGGAGGAAATATTTTCCAGCAATTCTATGAAGCCAGCATTACTTTGACACCAAAACAAGACAAAGGCTTTACAAGAAAACCATCCTCCTGAACAAAGGTACAAAAATCCTAAACAAAATTTTAGCAAACCAAATCCAACAATATATTAAAAGGGTACCACGTCATCACTGAACGGGGCTTATTCCAGGAATGCAAGGTTAATTCAGCATGTGAAAATCAATCAATGAAATTCACCATGTTTGCAGATTTAAAATATGCAGAAAAGACATTTGACAAAACCCAGCATCTAGTCCTGGCAAAAATCTTCAGTAAACTCGAAACACAAGAGAACTTAGTCAACCTGGGTAAAGAATATCCATGAAAAACCTACATCTAACATTATACTTAATGATAAAAACTGAACTCTTTTCCCCTAAGATCAGGATCAAGTCAAGGAAGTCTGCTCTGACATTTGCTGGGCAACACTGACCAAAAAGTAGTGAAAAATCCAGAAATAAACCTACACATACATGGACAATTGTCTTTCAACAAAGGTGCCAAGGCAATTCAGTGGAAATTCATCTCTGCTTTCAACAGGTGGTGCTGGAGCAGTTGGATATGCATGTACAAAACTGATTAACTTTGATGCGTACTTTGTACCATATTAGAAAATTAACCCAAAATGAATCCTTGAATTAAATGTAAGAGTTTTATATAATTGTAACATAACTGTAAAACTTCTAAAAGAAAATGTAGGAGAAAACCTTTGTGACCTTGGGTTAGCCAAACATTTCTTAGCTATGACACCAAAGCATCATGCATTGAAGAAAACATTGATAAATTGGAGTTGGTCGAGTTAAAAACTCCTGCTTTTTGAAAAACACCATTAAGAAACTGAAAGCCAGGCCACAGGCTGGGCACGGTGAGTTATGCCTGTAATCACAGTACTTTAGGAGGCTGAGGTGGGAGGAACCAGAGGCCAGGAGTTCAAGGCGAGCAAGGGCAACATAGTGAGACCCGATCTCGTGTTCTGGATGCAGCAGGTGTAGGGCACCCCGCAGGCCAGGGGTCCAGGAGCGCTGCAGTCATGGTACTGGTTCTTGCTCCAGTCTCGGTAGTCCTCCCCGCCACTGCACTTGAACTTTTTCTGAACAAAGTCCATGATGTTTTTGAAGTCCAGATCGTCATAGTAGTTCTCAATTCCTCTTCGAATGTTGTCATTCAGGAAGTCAATGGTCTGGTTCCGGAAGATCAAGGCCATCACGCCACCAATGAGCTCCATGATGAGGCAGATCCCAAGGATGTACATGAATGCTTGGAGAAGGAACAGGTTGTCACGGAGGGATGCCAGCACACCAATGAAGGAGACCATGCACATGACGACACCCAGGAGGATGAGGATGATGACCGGAGCCAGGAAGGCACTTTCAAGGGTTTTATATTTCTGCCGTTCGACCTCTGCATAGATCCCCACGGACAGGACCAGGACCCCGATCAGCCAGAACACGGTGGAGTAAATGATAAGTGAGAACTTGAGCCAGAGGTAAGAGAAGTGCGCACAGTAGCGCACCTGCTCCGAGTCCCCGCGCGGCATCCTTGGTGCTCCCCGCGCGGGTTACGAGGGCTCGGGGGCTCTGCGGCTTGGTTCGTCCGCCAGCACCCCGACTCAAATACTTTTGACATTTTTACTGTGGCAACCGACATGTTTTCAAGGGCAATAAAGTATTTTTTTTACATCAATGGAACAAAAATACACTTTGGAAAGGTTAACAGTTCTACATTTTGTCATTCTGCTATTTTGTCTTTAAGTAAGTAGGAGAGCCTGTGGGAGCAACTTGGGGTAATAAAGGTTAATCACTGGGAGCTTAAGGGTGCTTATGCTTAATTGGTGGGCGATTAAAGATGTTGAAGGTTAATAGCTATTTTTTTTAAGCCAGTAATTCCCTTCATAGAAAGCTTTCCCTGTGGGATTTGCCAAACCTGTCAGTCAGTTCTAGCTACCAGCCAATTGGATAGAAAATTTAGGAGCTTATCCCGAAGGGGATTTGGGAGTAAGGTAGACTATCTTCACTGTGGCTGTAACTTCAATTATCTTTAAAAACAGTTTGATCATCTTCAATGTACTCCATTCTTTCCTTGTTTTACTTCCAAATGGCTTTGGTTTTGTCATATAGATGAAACCCTAAATGGTACTTTTTCTAAGGTTCATAAAGCTGATAAAATAAGTTTACTGAAGGCTAGTTGCTAGTTGTAAAAACTACTTGGTTAGGTGTTTCCAAGATTAAGAGGTGCAATCAAATCTGATTTGTTTTGATACTAATTAGACACTAGTTCGTGACCAAGACATGTTCAATATATAGGGTAAAAGCGTTAAATAAATATTCGACTTGGAAGGGAACTTAAAGACTCAACTCATTTTACAGCTGGTGAACTGAAGAGGTCTGGAAAGACTGAATGACCTGCCCAAGGTCACACACCTCAGCTGAGTCTTACCTGGTCTTTTTATGCCTGGCAACCATTTATTTATAGCTAGCCCACAGCTGTTTCTGGGCCAAATATTACATTTTCAATTTAACATGTGTATAAAAATATCACCTAGGGGAAGGCTAATAAGTCCTGCTTGTATTCACTTGGCAGGCTTGTGTTCTTAAAGTCTACAAAGAAGACTTATAACTGAACACAATACCCTTAATTTGAGAAGTGGAATAATTTTTTGCTCTTCTAACTTTCTCATGTGTGACAGAACCTTTTAAGTCTCATGTGGAACTAGAGTCATCTATACCTCTCATCAAACCCCAATTGCTTTGTTATTCCTTACGAATGAATCATTATGTGATAAATTCTTCTAGGGAAATCAGACATTAAGGACTTTGAGGACTATTATACAGGAGACTACAGAGATTGTTTACCCATTGAGAAATAATGAAAATTTCATCACTGAAAGTAGTTTGGGGTGTGTGTGCAGTTGTCATTTATCTTCTTTTGTCAATAATAACTTTTTCCTGCAGTAAATAAAAATTGATCTCAAAGATTTATTTATTTAAAATCATTCAGTCGGGAAATTTATTCCCACATGCCAGTTGCCTCCTTTTAATTCTCTTAGCTTATTGTGTCTTGTAAAAGAAAAAGAGATAAAATATACCACATTTCTAATGCAACATTTAGGCAATATGTTTAATTAACTAAAATAGATTTGTAATTTTATTCTGATTATCCAGAAGGTTTAAGCAACATGAGATTTATGCAAAGCATGAAATTGGTGGCATGGCCCAGCCAGGTCTATCAGAAAATGCTATCAGCAGATCCTGGCAGGATGCTTCATGGCAACCATAGGGTTCTTAGTATATGGATGTGTATAAGCATTTCCAGTAGGCTGAAGCCATAACTCACAGGTATGCTTTCACAGTAATCCTTGTAATTAAGTAGCAAATTACAACAGAAAAACCTAAGTGTTATTTTAAAACCAAATCTATTAGTTTTTGGCTAATTGTGATGAAATAATGATCACTGTGAGCAATTTCCCATTTCCTAATCGCAGCAGTGTTGCTTGATCCTTAGATTTCTTTATGACGGAATAATAATCACCACTTGTAACCCAGTCAATAATCAGAAAGTGCTAAAAGCCTGGGATTTAAAACTACTGGATTTTTCCTATTTTGATTGCCTGAATATTTAACTCTCACTTGACTCAGACTCTTTCTTTTCTTTTTTTCTTTTTTGCAATGGAGTCTCGTTCCATTGCCCAGGCTGGAGTGCAGTGGCATGATCCAGCTCACTGCAACCTCCGCTTCTGGGTTCAAGCAATTCTTCTGCCTCAGCCTCCTGAGTAGCTGGGATTACAAGCGCGTGCCACCGTGCCTTCTAATTTTGGTACTTTTAGTAGAGATGGGGTTTCACCATATTAGCCAGGCTAATCTCACAACTCCTGACTTTGTGATGCCTCCACCTTGGCCTCCCAAAGTGCTGGGATTACAGGCATGAGCCACCACACCCTGCCTAAAACTCTTTCTATTCTCTAAGAAGGTCATTGAGAAAAGGTATCTTTTCATACTTTGGAAATAAATCATAGGAAAAATAAAGACTAGAAAAGGTCATTCATCTTTGCTGAAAATGAACTCTGGTGGCTACTTACAGTCTGTTTAACATTATGTTTATTTAAAAATAGACATTGAAGTAAATTATCATACAAAATGGTTTACAATGAGGCTTGTTCTTTGTTGCTTCAAAAGTTTGAAATTGAATGAGTAAATGGAAGATACCAAGAGAGAGCTGTAGTTTTGCTTGTGGAGAGAAAAAAAATAACTCATGATTTGCATCAAAGACAATGAATTAGGCTAATTCTTGAAGCAATGGGCTTTCTTCCAATGGCAAGCTGAGGATGGGGGCTGGATGGTCTGACTTCAGATATGTTATAAAGAACAAAATCTCTGTATTAGAAACAAGACTGGATTAGATAACTTTTATGGTTTTTCTTAACTGTAGATTGCTAGATTTCAGATCCCTTCTCTCAGCTTTGCCCAAATTCACATCAAAATTTGCTATTTGGCCAGGCATGGTGGCTGACGCCTATAATTCCAGCACTTTGGGAAGCTGAGGAGGGTGGGTCATCTGAGGTCCAAAGTTCGAGACCAGCCTGTCTGGCATGGTGAAACCCCATTTCTATTAAAAATACAAAAATTAGCCAGGTGTGGTGGTGGGTGCCTTTAATCCCAGCTACTCAGGGGGCTGAGCCAGGAGGATCACTTGAACATGGGAGGTAGAGGTTCCAAGTGAGCCGAGATCACACCATTGCCCTCCTGCCTGGGTAACAAAAGCGAAACTCCATCTAAAAAATAAATAAATAAATTTGCTATCCACCAGGTCCTAGGTAATACACTGCTCTCATATCAATTTAGGATGTGTGATTCTGAAAGGGTACTCATCATACCCAACATTACCAGGTTTACCTTTGGTAAGTAACTTCCATGTCTTGACCTAATGAAGAGACTGAGATGCATCATAATAGGCTATTATGCGTCATAGTTTGGATAGCTCTTGTTCCTGGGGCACCTGGAAAATTATACTGGTGAATCAGAAACCCAAGAATTTTAAATTTATTGGTTTTTATATGAAACTTTCTTCAATCTAAAATTTGATATAAATGAAACACAGTGAAATACAGTGTATGGATATTTGGGGGGTGAAAAATGGATTAAATAAAATTAAGCCATCAATCAGGTGTCCCAAGAAAAACAAAAAATTTACCTTTTATGCTTCTGAAATGTCTCCTAAACATTGATTCATACAGCAATTAAATACATATGAGAGGGGACTCATTTCATTAATGCCCCATTGAATGTTTTAAAAATCCATTTATTGAAGTATGATTATTGTACAGAAAGCAGTACATAAGTAATACATACAAATTGGTGAATTTGGAATATATTCCTATGAAACTATCAATATAATCAAGACCACAAATATAATTACTTTCCAAAGTTTCCTCATGCCTCATTTCTTTAATTAATTAATTAATTCTTTTGGGGTAAGAAAATTTAAAATAAGATGTACCTTCTCAGCAAATTTTCAAGTATACAATATAGTATTGTTAGTTCTATACACTATGCTGTGCCATACAACTCCAGAAGTTAATCGTATTATGTGGGAATATTGTATATCAATTAATACATTTTTGTAGTTTTAGTTATATCTAACACTTTTATCTTTTATAATAGGATTAAAATGTATTAATGTGCTGCTGATATGGTTTGGATCTATGTTTCTCCACTCAAATCTCATGTTGAATTGTAATCCCCAATGTTGGAGGTGGGGCCTGGTGGGAGGTAATTAGATTATGGGGGCAGTTTTTCATGGTTTAACACCATCCCCCTTGGTGGTGGTGTGGCCAGAGTGAGTTATTGCAAGATCTGGTTATTTAAAAGTATGTAGCACGTCCCCACCTCTCTTCCTCCTGTTGCAGCCATGTAAGATGTGTCTGCTTCCCCTTTACCTTCTGCTATGTTTTTAAGTTTCCTGGGGCCTCCTCAGAAGCCAAGAGAACCAGGCATCATGCTTCCTGTACAGCCTGCAGAACCATGAATCAATTAAACCTCTTTTCTTCATAAATTACCCAGTTTCAGGTATTTCTTGATAGCAATGTGAGAATGGACTGATAACTGCCACCATTACAGTATTACTATAGTCTGTGTTCACCTATGTTTACTTTTACCAGTAAGAATTATGCTTTCATGTTCCTGCTTTCTTTTTCACCAGTAAGAATTATGGTTTCATGTGCTTTCTTGTTGCTGTTTTATATCTTTTCAACTTACAGAACTCCCTTTAGCACTTCTTATAAGAAAATGATGATATATTTCTTCAGTTTTTGTTTATCTTGCCTTTGTTTATAAAGGGAAGGTTTGTCAGGTTTGGTATTCTTGGTTGGCAGTTTTCCCAATGAATCTATTTGAAGTAGAGTCCAATCATAGATAAGAAATAACCTTGGGCCAGGCATGTTGGGTCACACCTATAATCCCAGCACTTTGAGAGACTGAGGCAGTATGATCACTTGAGGCCAGGAGTTTGAGACCAGCCTGGGCAGCATAGTAAGACCCTGTCTTTACCAAAAAAAAAATAATTAAAAAATTTGCCAGGCATGGTGGTGTATACCTGTAGTCCTAGCTA